CCCCGATCCTCTCATTTAACCAGCAAGGCTGGGGTTACTATAAGACTTTTTGATGTTTCACCGTTTGCAATTCCCTCTGTAAAGTGCACATAGTGCATTCGCTAGTTAAAGCGAAGTTACCCGCCACAGCATCTAGAAGATGCATATAACAGGGTTAGATATGACATTTTATTTTATAAAATTCATAATCTTTTTAAATCACCACTGATCACTAGAATCATGAGAGCTATAGACTCAAATGTTGGGGCATATTGAAACAGCAAGCGTACTCTCTGTCGAATGACAGAGAGGTAAAAACTGTGTACACAAAGGAGATGAATGGTCGTAGACCACTAGGCAAACCAAGAAGACGATGGAGAGATAATAACCAGACAGACCTGCAAACACTTGATGTCACCAGCTGGAAAGAGAGGGCTAACCAGAGAGATGAATGGAGGCGGGTGGTATCTGAAGCAGTGAACCTCAAGGGTTTGGAATGCTGAAGAAGAAGAAGAAGAAGAAGAAGAAGAAGAAGAAGAAGAAGAAGAAGAAGAAGAAGAAGAAGAAGAAGAAGAGAAGACGAAGAAGAAGAAGAAGAAAAAGAAGAAGAAGAAGAAGACTTAGGGATATGGAGGTATGTTCCTGGACCGTCAGTTGGACTGAACGTCAGACAGCATTTCGCCTAGGTTTGTGGAGCTCTGAACCATGTAGCATCGCACCTGGCCTCCCACTGGGATCTGCCATTTCCCATGTGCTTTTCATTTTCAATGTGTATACAAGCAGGATAGTGGGGATTAGGAGAATGTTGACTTTTGTTGACGATGTTTTAGTCTAAAAATGGGGGGGGGGGGGGGAGAGGTTAGGGGTGAGAGGAGGATTGAAATATATAGAGAACCGCAGAATCGGTAAACAGTGTAGGAGAGTGAGTGTGAGGAAACAGGTTCAGTCATTAACCCAGATAAGGCATCTGTATTGTGGTTTTCATTAAATAATAGATTTGTTAGAGACGAGGTTCTGAACAATATTTGGTAGTAACAAAGAAAGAGAGAATTAACTAAAATGTCTTGATATATCTTTTGACACGAGTCTGTCGTTCAAACACCACGTGGAAGAGCCAGTGTTAAAAATAGGGAAATGACTCAATACATTGATGATGATAGCATCGGCAGACATGGAACAGAGAATGCTCTGCACAGTCTATGTGCAAATGATTTTTTTATTGATGGAGTATGGTTTGGGCCGGCTCACTTTATCTAACAGCCAAACAAAGAAGCATACTAAATGAAGCCATGCGAGTCATTGTGGGATGTACACGCGCACGACAATTGTATGCATGCAGTACATTCTTGTATTGTCGACCGTATATGAAAGATACGAGGTGTTACAGAGCTGATCAATGAAAATTCACACCCAGGAGACAGTGTAATATACACAGATGGATCTATAGTGAGAGGCGGAAAGACTGGGTGGGGTTTTAATGCAAAGGTGAAAGGACGAAGTCTGAAAAACAGGGAGCCTTGGGTATAACGTCACAAGATCCATTTTGATAATAGAGGTGGAGGCAGAAACGGCAGCTTTTGGATGGTTGGAGAGCAGCACAGCCCAAAATGTGGTAATTGTACTCACAGAGCGTGCTTCGGAAAACAGAAAATGTCGTCCTACGCTTAGAGTGGCTTGCATCGCTTGATATGACTAGGATCAGGAGCATATCATACTTTTTGTCTCACTGTAAGTGACATCTTCTTATTGATGATAATTAATAGCCTCTTTCTAAAGGCTACCTTTGCAAAGTCTCTTCTTGTTCTAAAATTTCAAGGCATTCGGCATGAGATATTATGACTGTTTCTGAATGGTTGTATCTATTAGTTTGTTTAAGAAAGTAGCCATGTGCATCTAATTAGCGTACTGTTTACGCAGTACATGTACTAAAATTGGAACGCCGTGGCGTTGGCAGCTAAACGCCCGCCTGTGGATCGGAATGTCGTGAGTTCGCGTCCTGACAGAGCTGGACTTTTGTTTCAAAAATGACCTTGACTCACAGGTCGACCCAGCCTTGAGTTGGTACCAGGTGCAGCCCTAAAAAGTAAAGGCGGCCGACGTGGCGCTGACCACATCACCCACCAAGCGCCGATTGGTCTATACAAAATAAGTCTAGCCCTATATTCTCAATACGTTTGAAGTCGTGAAAAGGGATCTTTACTTTTATGTATTTCGCACTTTGATATTTCTTTCTTCTTAGTGATAACCATAATTTCCGTTTCGTACAATTTGGTTTTAAGCCTAGTTTCCCCACTGTGGACTATACTAAGAAGCCAATAAACAGTGCAGATCTAGTACTTGTACTACATGTACATAAGGTAAGTATGAGTTAATCCCTTTAGTGGTTTAACAATACATTAATCGTTTACATAAACTAAGCTTGTCCTTACTGCTGGTGCTTAAAATACCCACAATTCCCTCTAGTTGTACATAAAATAAGCTTGTGATAACCCTTGATGGTTTATGTTAATAATCCGCCCTACATACACACACACACACACACACACACACACACACGCCTATGCACACACGCACACCCCCCCTCCCCCCCCACACACACATACACACACGACACATTCATGTTAACCTCTGATGGCTTATCTTGACATTTCACATCATATGTACATACATATAAATATATTGGTGATAACCTCTGATATTTTATACTGACAATTCTCATCATGTGTACATAAATAGACATGTTCATGTTAACCTGGGGTAATTTACGTGTTCATTTCACACAAAATGTCCCTACAATATGTTGGCTTATTTGAACCTCTGGTTGTTTATATTCACAGTCCATCCTATTTGTATATACACTAAGTCTGTCCATTATAACCTTTTGCATTGCATATTTACATAGCATCCCTGTATGCAAAAGACAAAACAAGCGAGTGCATAGTTTTTATAATACATTTTGTTTCAAGTATCCACCAGGGGAAAAAAATAGCACATTTTAACATGTATTCACACCCATTGAACAATAACAAGTTATAAATCCGCAATGTTCGTGAACTGCTGCATTCAAGATAGATCATCAACGAATGTGTGAAGACACAGGCGTCTTTACTTTGATTTTGACAAAAATATGAGCATTGAACAATTCAGAAAGCAATGGCAAACTACTCATGGTAAAACTGCCTAGTTAAAACAACACAATAGCGAATAAATGGTGGGGTTGATTTACGACGTCCTGAAAGGGACATGCAACTAACTTATCACCACTGCATTCAAAGTTCCTTCTGAGTAACCATATACTGCCAGTCATTACATCACCTCGTCCGATGACCATCCGGGCAGATTTGAAGACGATATATATCAAATATATGTATATAGTTTATTCTTCGATATCATGGCGAGTCTAGCTCATTGAGTATTGCTTGCAATCCGTGGTTTAGACGATTTATTTGAGTAGAAGGCGTATAATGGCGTGAAGACCAGCTCACCAAATGTGTGTTCTGTGTCGTCTTTATCTTTGATACTGACTTTACTGAACAATGAACATTCCTCATAGCTAGGGTTTCCTGGAAAAAACATGTGCAACAATTAGAAAAAAACATCACGTTGTTATTAAAAGAAATGACTTTCTTTAGGCCAGTGACGCAACGGTCATGTAATGCTAGATTCATATTCTTTGGACCCATCAAAGATGCAATCAGCGGTGAATGGAAAGTGTGAAGCAACCATGAAATTCATAATCTGTTTAAATCACCACTGACAATTGGCATCATGAGAGCTAATAGAATGAATTGTTTGGGGCATATTGAAAGAATGTCAAATGACAGAGAAGTTAAAAACTGTATACACAAGTGAGATGAGTGGCCGTAGACCATGAGGCAGACCAAGAAGATTACGGAGAGATAATATCCAGATAGACCTGCAAACACTTGGTGTCGCCAAATGAAAAGAGAAGGCCAACCAAAGAGATGAATGGAGGCGGGTGATAACTACAGCAATGAACCTCAAGGGCTCGGAATGCTGTGGTAGAAAAATAAGATATTCTTAAAGACCAATCGGCAGCTGGTGAGTGATAGGATCAGCAACACGCGGATCACCGACCACCATTACTCTTTGAGTCCCAGGGGGTTTAGCATCACAGGCCCAGGGGGTAGTAAAGAAAGTCATAAAATCGGCGCATCATGCGTTCATTGGGCTTCTAGGTAGGACATACTATCACACTTTTACTTGTGCCATTGGAATTTGAACTCCGCACTTGCTGCTTAAGATGGATGGATCACTTATGGGAATGTCTCAAGTGCTGGGATGTTGATTCTTGATTTACCATTCAACAAAAAAATTTTTTTTTAGACAAAGTGGACAGAGAAACAGAAAACAGGCCTTCTGAGATGAAAAAGACATGGTTGGTGGAAGTGAGGGCATACAAGATAACTTTTGGATGAATGTTGATAAGAGATACTGGAGGTCCTTAACTAGACTCTGTACATGATATTGAAAACAATGACACAAGATATAATGGAATGGAGGAATTGACAGTGAGCCTTATGTGATATGTGGCGTCCGTGGCTTAGGCGTTGCAAGTCTGACTCATAATCCAACGTACCGCGATCGAAACCCACTGCGGGCTGAGTGGATTTGTATCGTGGTATGGAACGCCGCAGGTCGACCCAGCCTCAAATGGATACCAGGATGGCTGTCCTGGGGAAGTAAAGACGGCCAGCATAATGCTGACCACATTACCCACCGAGTGCCGATTGGTCTGTAAAAATATGGGTGCTTTTCCCATATGCCCGATGCGCCTAAGGGCGTGTAAAGGGATCTTTACTTTACTTTACTTACTTTTTTTAGGTAGGAACCTATGAACGTATCATGCGTTCCTTGGGACTCAAAGAGTAAAGCATTCGGGCCACTACAGTATCGTAGCTCCAAACAATTCACAAGTTAGGTAATATTTCAGTTGTTATAGGATCTTATTATTGGTACGCCAGTTTCATATATTCTCCTCTCCTATCTATGATTTATATGTTCATTAACTTTATTTTTTCCCCCGACTTGTCACATATTTTTTTGTTCCACGTTTAAATAAATAAATAAATAAATATACATACACACATTATATTTTAATATAAACACACACATTATATATATGTATATATATATATATATATATATATATATATATATATATATATATATATATATATATATATATATACATTATTTACATTACATTCGAAGTTGGAGTGCATCTGCCTGAGAGGCAAGGAACCAACAGTCTGCAAACAAATTAGTCAGATCTGTCAAACGGATGCACACGCCACACTCAGGTTATGGAACAGGACTGCAGTCCAGAAGTGGATGAACAGCTAGAACTTTCCGCCAGAATTTACAGCTGGTGAACCCGAAGGAAAAGAAGAAGAATTAATCCTGATGTCTTTTTGCAGTTCTGGTCGTTAGTCTACCTATCCATCAGCACGTATGATGGGGTACATGCAAATACACGCAGATATTAGGGGTATCGATAATTATTTCAAGGATTTTAATTATTATTATAAAAACAAGTATGTAATGGATATACACGTGTTCCACGTTAAAATGTTCAGAAACATTCAAAATGTTGTGTGATATTGTGAGACCGTGAGAGTTAAAGATTCGCAGAGAAGATCAGCAACATCCGGCACCCTAAATGATAGGGTCGCCACCGTAAACTGCAACTGTAACTCTGGACTTGATTCCTGAAACGTTTCTAAACATATTAGGATGCCATACGCATATATTTATTAAACCGCCTTTTAAAAAACACTTAAAAATTCCAACAATCATTCTTGATGACCCTATATATATATATATATATATATATATATATATATATATATATATATATATATATATATATATATATATATATATATATATATATATATTATATATTATATATATATATATATATATATATATATATATATATACATACATACATACATACATACATACATACATATATATACACACACACACATAGGGCTCCCGTTGTGGGTTCAAATGCCCTATTGTGGGAAAAACAAAAATAGTCCCACTGCCTCCCCAACAAGCATGTCGTAGGAGTCGACCAACTGATGACTTCCTTTGAAGTCGGAGTACATCTGCCTGAGAGGCAAGGAACAACAACTGCACGCGAATAAGCCAGTAAAATGGATGCACACACAAAACTCAGGCCCTGGCACAAAGCCAAAGTCCAAATGGACAACAACCAGGACTTTCTCCCGGAGCTTACAATCGTTGAACAAAGAAGAAAGAATAAGAAGATATATACTCCTAGAAAAAAGGTGTCAGTACTCACCACAGAGTGTCTATTACCATAGTGCTGGAAAATGTCATGCCTCAAAAGGTGTCGACAAAACGACCCATATATATATATAAAAAAAAAGGTTGTTGCGTATCCTCTAGAGGACGTTGCAGAACCAACCCTAACAGCCCCTGGCTGTTGTGTGGTTTCTCTAGGCAAATTTACGTCCAGTAGTTTGCCATTGCTTCTGGACGGTCGGCTTTCTTGATACCACTGTCGAAACCAACGCAAGGCGCATTGCCCGCAGCTGGGATCGAACCTGGCATCCCGGCATTACGAAGCGAAGTGTTCGCATCGACTTAGCCACAGAGCCGACCCCATACATATACATATATATAATGTGTGTTTGTGTGTGTTTGAGGGAGAGAGAGAGATCATGTGACTGACAGACATAGAATGAGAGAGTCTAGATTGTGTGTGTGTGTGTGTGTATGTGTGTGTGTGTTTATGTGTATTTCTTGCTCACATACACCTGTGAAACATTGCTACCATTGATTCCAAGAGCGCCTTACCTTCAACCGTTATCAATGCGCCTTTGCCTGGCATGCCCGCAACAATGGAATCATGTCTCCCTGCATTAGCCGATTTTCTGGCTGAAGCCCTGGTGACCAACGGCAAGGTGCCAATCACGATCTCGTCTTCAAAGTCAATCTCGTCCCAGGAACAGCGAGCGTCTGACCCTCCACAGAACTGGAGAGACACACAACCAGTATGTTTAAGTCTCAGCGAAAATGTATCTGTTTGTGACTGACACAGATACACTCAGTGAGTGTCTGCATGTAACTGGCACAGATATACACAAGCATGACGTTCGTGTGTTGAATATGAAGATAGGCAGGACAGAATGGTTGGCTTCGGGTTATGTTTGCTCATGACAGTCGTAGTCTTGGTCGGGATTTCAGCTTCACTGCAACCGGGTTTTCCCATACTTGCTCCGTTCCTATGCCAGTACAATGAAATGTGTCCCTCGCTGTATCGATTGAAAAACCGGTGAACAAACAATCATAGACCCGGAAGCATATAGCTCATGACAGTGCTTTGCTAATGCAATTTCCTCATATGGACATAAATTTACGGTTTTCTTATCTAAGCTATTGAGTTAATTGCTTGGTGCAGCACTGTAAGCTGTGATTTTTTTTCCCATTGAGAATGTCTTTCATTTCTTTAGCGTTTGTGCA